TTTACCCAACGTGACCCCGGAGACACATTTGTTTGGGTTGAGCTTCATGTTATATTTTCTTAGAATTTGAAAAACAGAATCTAAAACATCAAGTAAAGAATTTGAAAACTGGGTCTTCACAACCATGTCGTCTACATAACACTCAACTTTATTTCCAATCAAAGGTTCAAAAATCTTAATTACAAGGTGCTGGAAGGTCGCTCCAGCGTTTTTCAATCTAAAGGGCATCACTTTATAGCAATACAACCCTAGTTTGGTTACTAATGTGGTCTTTTCCTGGTCTGCTAGGTCCATCATAATTTGGTTGTAGCCAGAGTAGGCGTCCATGAAGCTCAGCAACTCGTGCCCCGAGGTCGCATCGACCAGGCGATCTATTCTAGGAAGAGGGAAGCAATCCTTCGGTAGGCTCTATTGAGGTCGGTGTAGTTGACGCACATGAGCGACTTTCAATTAGCTTTCTTCATGAGCACTGGGTTGGCCACCCAGCTCGGGTATTTGACCTCTTTTATGAAGTGTGCTGCGAGGAGCTTCCCAACCCCCTCATCAACTACCCTCCACCGCTCCGGGGCGAGGTTCCGTTTTCTTTGTCTAACTGGTCTGACTAAGGGATCCACATTAAGTTTGTGAGTTATTATACTAGGGTCAATGCCGGGCATTTCTGTTGTTGACTAAGCAAAAACATATACTTGCTATGACCGAAGCGGTTCATTTAGTAGAGCATCGATCTGGAGGGTGTTCGTCGGTTCGACATCAGAGACTGGGACCTGGACTGTCTCCTCCATTAGGGCAACTCGCTCCTCCGTGTGCTTGGGGGGTGGCTCTAGTTCGATGTTGTCCACCAACTTTGCCTTGGCCTTCAATACGGCTATGTAGCACTTGCGTGACTCAAGCTGGTCACCTTGTACTACCCCTACTTTGTAGCTCGTTGGGAATTTCTTGGACAAATAGTAGGTCGATATCACTACATGTAGGGCATGCCCAGATGATTCGATCTAGGATCACATTATAGGGTGACGGAGTCACGACCACCAAGAATGTGTGCTTGAAGCGTACTGAATTGGGCCATTCTCCTACTGTAACTGGAACTGTAATTCGACCAAGGGGCCTCACCACGTCACCACTAAACCCAACCAGGGGTGTGTCTTTCGGCTTCAAATTCTTTCGCTCTAGCTGTAACTTGTCAAATGCCTCCAGGAATAGGATATCTGCCGAACTCCCAGAATCCACCAATATCCGCTTTACCTCGAAGTTGTTGACCACTATCTTGACAACGAGGGTGTCGTCGTGCGGATACTGAATCCCGTGCCCATCGTCCTCGGTGAAATAGATTGCCTCCTCCACCTGAGGTTGCTTCGACAGGTTCTCATCTTTGTGCTTGAACTCTCGAACTGACGTCTTTCTCGCTGTTGTGCTGCAACCCACAACGATTGACCCACCGATGATCATGTTGATCACCTCGCGGATCGGCCTATCCTCTAGTGGTGGTGGTTGCCGAGGTGGCTGCTGGTCATTCCTTCTGCTCGGCTCCGGATCTTCTCTTCACTGGTCGGCTCGCCGATCCACTATTTCCCTATCTTCGTACTTGATGAACTTCTTTAGATATCTGCGGTGGATCAGCTCCTCAATCTCGTCCTTGAGGTTGCGATAACCTTCCGTGCTATGCCCGACATCACAGTGAAAATGGCAGTACACATTAGGGTTTCTGGTTGCTGGGTCTCCTCGCATCCTGGGTGGCCACTTGACGTAGCCGGTATCCTTGATTGCCATCCAAATTTCACCCCATTCTGCATTCAGAGGGGTATAGTTGGACCTTTGAATTGGAGGGGTCCTAGATCGCCGACCTGATCTAGAATCCCGAGGTGGTGACTTCTTTGGGGATTTACTTCATCTGTGTGGTGACTTGCTCTTGTGTCGTCGGTGTTTGCTGCTACTAATGCCTTCGTCTTCTCACTTCCTCTTATTACCTTGTTGTGTTTCTAACTAGGACCCGAGGGCTTCCTCTGCTTGGATGAACTTGTTGGCATCATCGAGGAACTTCTCCATTGTCTTTGGAGGGTTTAACCAGAGGTGCCAATGAAACTCGACATGTCGGACACCCTTATGAGCCATAGTGAGCTGCACGACTCGGTTGAGGTTGGGAATCTGTAGACATTCTACGTTGAACCTCTTGATGAAGCTGCGGATTGACTCATTCTCCCGTTGAACCACATTTAGAAGACTCTCTGCGGACTTCGGACACTTCTTACTTGTGATGAAGTGCGCAATGAACAAGTCAACGAACTGTGTCCAGCTCTTGACCGAGCCCGGTTGTAGGTTTCTGTACCACATCCTGGCTGTACCTCTAAACGTTGTTGAAAACGCCATACACAAGCTCGCTTCATTTGCTCCGACGAGTAACATCAGGGACTAGGAACTGTCGACATGGTCATTCGGGTCAGTGTTCTCGTCATACGTCTCTAGTGCAGGTGTCTTGAAGTCTTTCGGTCTTGGGGCGAAAAGTATCTCTAGTCCTAGTGGGGAGGGCCAACTCAACAAAACTAGAGTCGGCCATGTAGCTATCGAGCTCACTTCCTCCCTTGTTTTGTCTGCTACTGCCGGTGGACTGTTCTTTGCTAAAGTTTGGCGTGGTCTACGACGATGTCGCTTCCTCGTGGCCTCGTTGTTGGTGTTGTTTACTTCAATGTTATCCGACACCTCGACTCTTATATAATCTCGATCTCGAATGCTGCCACAGGGTGGGAGCTGATTTCTGGGGTCCGGCCCCGAGGAGGAGCTGGGACCTGAGATGTCCCCGCGCCTCGGGGAGGAGATCGACACACATTCTGCTGTTGTTGTTTTTGATTCCGGTTCAAAGTCTGGTTCTGATTTTGGCTCAGGTTCTGGTTTAGGTTCAGTTGGAATGGAGGGAACTGATGCTGATAGAAATAATATTGCTGGTATTATTGGAACTAGTGGATCTGCTGCATTTGAAGCTGTATGACCCAAGCACTCTATACCAGCTCATGGAACTACTGCTCACCAACCCCGAGAGGAACCACAGAGGGCTTTGTGACTGAGATGGCGGCGCTCACATGAGGTAGGGAACGTTAAGGGTTTGCGTGTTGAATGCTTGGCTCTGTATCGTCGGCACTCCTGAGATAGTGAGCAGGATGGTGAATTGTCCGACTGTCACTAAGGGGAATTTTGGGTTGTATGGGATCTGCTCCTGCCCCCTAGTAACAATAATCTTGATGCTCTTTCCGGTGTTGCTTGATGATGCCATTGATGAGATGCTAATGGTGTAGTTACGGTAGAAAACTTGACTTCTTTGTTGCGTTTCCCACAAACGGCGCCAATTGATGGTGTGCGATATGGTCGCTCCTAGTTGGGTGGTAGCTCTGACGTCAGTTGCTTGGCTGGCGAGTCGAACTGCAAGAAGGGGAAAGCTCAGAGAACCCGGCATGGTCACTCTAATGCTTAAGTTAGTATGCTGGTTGTGTTGCGAGTTGAAAGCTTGTGAATATGAGAGCTAGTAAGCAAGTAATCGCGCATACCTAGGTCTTAGGGGCTGATACCCTTATATAGTTGGGCTGTCGTAGGTCTCACAAAACACCTCTGAGATCCTCGGCCCACATTGTTAGGAGTCCGTTCCGCCCCGGGAGGTGGATAACGTGCTAGCCGATAAGGCCTATCACGTCTGCCTAATCTGGGTGGGATGAGTATAAGTCCCACGGTTGTGTGGCGTGATCCTGAAGAGCTTAGAGACAGCTGGCATGCGGCATGCTTCTAGAAGTTTGATACGTGTCACCTTGGTGAGTTAGGCAATCCCGAGCTACTCGGACCTCAGTCATTGCGTAGGTGCCCGAGACACCCAAAGTGGCTTGGCCCATCGAGGTGGCAGGTAATGCTGAAATGGTAATAAGTGCTAAGTCACAGTCTAACTTGTAGGTTGTGTCCACATGTCCTCTGTTTAATAGGTTGGGCCAAATCACCCCTCATCAGTTTTGTTTTTATTTTTCAAAACAAAAACTATTACATTAGCAAAATCAATATATTTTTGATGATGTGGCACTCCATTAAAATTGATAAAAAAAGAATACTCACTATTTTTCCTATCCATTCCCGATTCTTCACTTTTTATTTTTATTTTTATTTTCAATTTTTTCTCATTATTATTCGTTGATTCTTATTAGTATAATTTCTTGAATATGTTTTTGTTTACTATTGTTTACCTTTTGTCTTTGTAAGTTTCTATTATTCCTGTTGTTACTTTATACTATTTTTCGTTTTACTTTTGATTCATCTATATTCTGTATTATTTTTTTCTATCATTTTCATCTATTTTTTGTTTCACTTTATTTTTAATTATTTCCTATTTCATTTTTACTTTATGAATTTTTTACAGATCTATTTTATTTTCATTTCTATATTTATATTAATGCAACATCAATACATCATCCATGGGCAAATTAGAGATTTTAAAGCGTTTAAGAGCACAACATCGTCAATTTCCGTTAAATTCCTAACGTTATTATTAACGGAAGGGGTCTGAAGCATAATTTACCCCAAAGGGAGGATAAAGTAATTTATCCTATTTTTAATTATCTAGCAAAAAGAAAAAAAAAAATCTACGTCGTGATAAACCTGCTATCATGATCGTGTAATTATCATAAAGAGAAAGAGGGCAAGAACAATTGAAGGTATAGTCAAGTCAACGAGACAAAGAAAGGAGGGCTAATGAGCCAATTAGCAGATTCGGTAAAGTAGAAATTGGGCCTACTGAAGCCCATTATGGTCCATTTATTTGGGCCGAGTCCCGTTCTCCTGGCCCCACGCGCAATAATTAATTGTCATTATTTGTCAAGATGTCTCTGTTGAATTCTTTTCTTCGAAGTTTCTTCTTTATAATTTAAGTTAATGCTATTGCTGGGATTCGCAATAGTAAATGACCATTGCACCCTGCACTCTGTGCTCTAACAAGTCAACGTACCAGGGGTAGTTTCGGTAGTTAGCTCTCCCTGTTCTCGTTTCTCTCTCTCTCACTCTACTGCGTTGCAGACAGAGTTGCAGTTGTCAAGAAAAATGGCGACGGAGGGAAAGAGCCTCGGCGATATTACGGAGATGGAGGACTTGATAAAGAGAGCTTGTCCTCTGGCCCTGAAGGCTCATAAGGCTGCTACTGCTACCACCTACTACACTCGCAACGTACATGCCAAAGAAGTCATCTTTGCCTTCTCCGGTTCATGGTCAGTCGACGAGTGGTTTGCTCCTGAGCACCCTTTTGCAGAATCAAAGCTCGTCCTTGAGCTCTTCCCTTTTCTTAGAAGCATCGGAAACGATGAAACCGCCGTCGTTAACGCATCATTTCTCAGTCGTTTCCAAAAAGTTTTGCAGACTAATGGGTTTCGTGACGAGGTAGGTAGTCAACGCCAGTTCTTATGTCCTAGCTGCTGCTACAGTTTCGATTTCAGCCATTGTTTCTTGTTTATAGCTACCTATTATAATGGAAATGCGCAGGTTTTAAGATCGATTTGATGGGTTTTTCTTTATAATTTTTTTTTTTCCGTTCAGGTGAATAAAGCTTTGAGTCAGGAAAAGCAAATTGTGTTTACCGGGCACTCGTCCGGCGGTGCCATCGCCGTCCTTGCTACCATCTGGGTACTAGAACATCATATACGACGAAAAACTGATCAAAACCAGAACCCAAATCAAAACCAGAACCCAAATCAAAACCAGAACCATGTTCTTCCTCGATGTGTCACCTTTGGATCCCCCCTCGTCGGTGATCGTGTTTTCGGGCACGCTCTCCGGCGAGAGAGGTGGTCTCACCTTTTCGTTAATTTCGTCACGAGATACGACATTGTTCCTCGTCTCTTACTTGTCCCTCCTTCATCCATTCAACGGGAAAAGCTACAGACAATTCTTGATTCCATCAAGACAGGGCCCCAAAAAATTACTAAAGAATCAGCAACAGATTTCTTTAGCACTGTGATGAGGAATGCCTTGTGCGTCGCAAGCCATGATGCCTGCTCGCTCATGGGGTGCACCGATTTGTTGCCGGGGGCCATAGCCGGCTTCATTGACCTTAGTCCATACCGACCTTCTGGAACCTATGTCTTCTGTATGGGCAACGGAAAACTGGTCGCCGTGAAGAATCCAGATGCCGTTCTGCAATTACTCTTCTACTTCCTCCAGCTGAACCCTGCACAGGCCGTCGATGATGTTGCTGGGAGAAGTCTCAAGGAACATCTGATGTACAAGACTGAATTGCAGGGAAGCCTGGCAAAGCCACACTTGGTCAATCTAGATCCTCCAATTTCTTCAACAAATGCTGACACAGTTCTGAATGATCTTGGGTTGGTAAGTTCAACTCTTGCTTCTTCTTACTAGTTCAATCGGACATTACAAGAATTGCTAGGTGACGTTCTCTGTGCTTATGCCGCATTCCAGAGCACGAAGGCAAGGCTGTGCCTCTGCGCAGCAGAAGAGTCGGAGAGGCAGAAACTAGAAAAGCAAAAGAAGATCGAGGCTAACTGTGGAAAAATCAAAATAGCTCTCAGGAAGCTGAACAATTATCGATCCAAATGTGAGGTACATAAGGTAGGCTACTACGATTCGTTCAAACGCCAAGAAGGCGAAAAAGATTTCTTGGCCAATGTGATCAGGCTCGAATTAGCAGGGATGTGGGATGAGATTATCGAGATGCTAAAGACGTATGAACTGCCTGATGACTTTGAGATTAAGCCGGATTGGGTTAAGCTGGGGACGGAGTTCCGACGCCTTGTGGAGCCTCTGGACATAGCCAATTTCTACCGGCATTCGAAGAACGATGACACCGGTGCGTACATGAAACGGGCTAGGCCAAAGCGTTATAGGTACACACAGAGATGGCTTGAGCATGTCGATAGGAAGGGAACAGGAGACTATTCCGAGTCCTGTATCTGGGCCAAGGTAGAGGAGCTCTGCCTTGCTGCTGCTGCCGGAGGAAAACCTCCTCAAGAAGTGAAACTCAGGGTGGTGGAATTGGAGAAATTAATTTCAGTTGCAGAGAAAAATAAGCAGTTAAGTAAGGATATGTTCTTTGATGAATCTACCCTTGTCAAGTGGTGGAGAAAACAGGACCCTGAGATCAGGTCGGTGGCTACCATTATTGCAGGACTCGTGGATGGCAGAGGAAAAGATCTTCCTTCTGCCTGTTAGATCCGTTAATCGTAGTACAACCATTGTAGTCAATTAATGATGTTGTTCAGGTTAAATTCTTGTTCAGATGGAGAGTGTCGAACTTATGTTACTACTGTATCACTTTAAGTCATTGGTTTGAACCTTGAGTGTTAGAAACGATCTCATGAAGCCAGTGCCACTGATAATCTGGTATGTAAGTTTTAATTCTATGTATCAAATGAGCTAGTTCTGAAATGTTGGAGGTTTCAAAGAATCATCATAACAAAATAATGGGGACATGATGCAACAATCTGGAGCAACAAGTTGAACATCGACAATATTAAGCAATTTCTTTCCAATTGCATCTTCATCAGCAACTTTAAAATCTGAATTCCCAAGCGTTGTGGGTTTTGAATACTATACATTACACATTACCAAAAAAAGAATTCTCTCTAGTCTGTACGATAAAGTATAAAGAGTAAAGAGAAAGACTGTTAAACTAGACCGATGACAGTGCACTAAAATCTTCCCCCACCCTCTTTCTTTTGACAAGAACAGACTCTAAATGCATACATAATTCAAGAATGGATCCAATTCAATAGTGTGCTACAGGAAGGCACCATTTTCAAAATTCAGTCAACATGGGTTACATATTTGGGGACTCGGATCCATATATAGCTTTCTTGCTGGAAATTAGGTGGCTTCTATACCCATTCTGTTAGCTATTGCTCGTCTGTCTTTGATGCAGCTGCTTCTTTCAATTTTTCTAATTGTTTCCGGAGATATGCTTGCCTCAGTTTCTCCCTACGAGCTGTGGCTTGCTCTTGCCTACGCAACTTGAGTGCAGACACCTTTTCTCTTGCTTTATTTGCCTCCTCATGAACCTCCCTGGGAGAGAACCATAAGTAAATTGTTAGAGGAATGCATGATGTCAGTCATTGGGACTTCTAGGGAACTATTACATCCACACAAATAGGTTACAGTAAAAGACGAACACATTGACAATGGTAGTATTAAAAGGAAAGAATTGAAATGCAATAAAAATGAATGTTGTTGTTATTAGAGGTGTTTTAGTTATAGACTGATATTATAAGGGGCATTCAAAGACCTATACAAATGAAATAATTTCATTTTGATTTTTATAGCACGCAAAGTGTGTCATCGTTTGCTGTTATGCAAGTTTAACATACCTAAAATATCCATCTTTGGACATCCCAACCAATCTATCACAAATAACATATTTAAAAAGAAGTGACCTTTCATTAAAAAAAAAAGAAGTCATTTCTTGTCTTGTTGAAATGGATTCATTTTAATTTGATGACATAGAGTTAAAGAAAGCATTGACAAATGCTGTTCATCATATCCATCCATATTCAACTAATGCTAACATAGTTTATACTTTATAGCCATACCTTACAAAGCGCTTGTGCTCATCATTGTCTACTGTGCTAGCTGTCCGCCCAGGTCCTAAAGTTTTAGTGTTGAGCAGATAAGAAGCATCATTTTTGTCATCTTCGTTCTCTACTGATACCCCAGGAGAAGCATCATGTCTCTGCGGTTGCTGTGACTCTTCCTGCACGAGGCTCTTACGGAAAAAATCCACACAATACTTCTCCTTTTCTTCCTCATCTGAGAGCTCTCCCCTTGCAAGCTTTTCATATAACTCGGCTTTCCTCTCTAATGCTGCATAGCTAGCTGATCCATCATTTACTGCTTTTAGCTCAAGCTTATCCCTGGAATGTTTAGCAAAAAAATCACTTTATACTGACCAAGATTGACTTCAGTAACTGAGGGGAGAGAGTATTATGGCTTCCTTGTAGATGATAGAATAGAACATGTTCTATCATTATAAATGAAACATGTTTTATCATTTATTCAGAGTGTTGACATTAGGCATAGTAAATAAAATAACATGTTTGTTTGACCAGTAAAAAGAATAGAGATTTATTTATGTAAGTGCAAACTCCATGAGCTGTCCATGGAAGCTAGCTCACCTCCTTGCAGAAATCCATGAGCTCTCTTCTTTGCTGAACTGCTCCTTTAGATGGATTCCCCGGGAGATCAATGGAACAGCAGATGCCTTAGCAAAGCAAGATTTGGGAAGGGATTTTTTGTATAGTGCAAACTCTTTGCCATCTTAGTTTGATACATGCTTTTCTTTCTGTGCTTTTCTGGCCTGTTTGTACATCTCTTATGTACATCCCTCCCCTGTTTTTTTGGATATAAGTTATCTTTCTCTTCAAAAAAAAAAACACAATAAAATAAGTGGAAATTTGGACTTAAATGTACCCAAAAAGCCATATGATGTGGAGAGAATGAGAAGGCTAGTGCTAACACCTCACAATATACTAATATACCAAAAAGCCTACAAGCTATAAGTTTGTTTTATATAAAATGTTTTGATAACTCTCTTGACATTTGTTTCTGGATTCTTGAAAGGAAACAGAAAAATATAGAACTGGGAGAACAGAGGCACCCAGTCCCAGTTTTACTACATTCTTTTTTGTGTGGGGAGCTTCCCTAATTGACCCATCCCAGGCCTTGAACTGGAGCTTCCAAGGCAGGTTCTTTAGGGATCTTCCCCAATTGAGCTGATTGGGAGATAGGAGTCCTTTCTACAAGAATATACTGACTATATTAGGTTTTAGCTAGCTATAATTGGAATAGATTGTTCTTAAACATGGACTATGTTGCCATAGGAATATCTCTATTTGATCTCAAATGGATGAATGGCATGCAATCCTATGTGTCTACTGACAGGGTCAACAAATTTACAAACCATGAAAATTGTTCTGATGATTTGATATCTTAGAATCTACCAGGAAAATTGAAGATTGCACAGCCAGACTTATTTCACTCTCACGGTCAATTTAATTTTATCAATATATTCACAAAGTTAAATCCAATTTAGTGATTGAAAATTCACATGCAATTTGTGAAGCAAAGTCACAGATACTTTCATGACCAGTTTTTATATTTCATGTTCTCCTCATAACTCCAAAGTATTAGGGCTTTACTCTTTACCCCTTATGAAGGTAAGGCATACCATATGCCAACATTGATGTTTGCAATTTGTGAGACAAAGTCACAGGTACCTTCATGCCATATGCTGACATTCATGTCTGCAACAGGTTACCCTGCATTCCCTTTTTTCAATCATTAGTTACTTCATATTCTTTGGATCCACTCTTATTTATAGGAGCACAAAAGAAACTGCCTATTGTGACTTGTTGAAGTAGTGAAGCTAGATTTAAGGCCTTCCTAAAATGGAGCTCCTCTATTTAATCTACTTCAGCCAGCTACTCTATTCTTTGATTAAAGAAGTGCCTCTACAAGACCACTAAATCATCTATAAAGATAGATTATCATTTTGGTTCCTGAGAAGTGGCATGAATAAATTATTTACTACCTAGCTGGTGCATTTGCTCCACAAATTTCCAACAAAGCCCCTAGACAAGAACTTGGTTTTGTAGGGGGAAAGCATTAGGCATCATGCCAGAACCTAATTTTCGAGAAATGATAGAGATCCTCATAGGACCTCAATATAGAAAAATCTAGATATGAAGGTGGCACATTTCTTGGCCTATTTACAGATATATTGTTCCATAATTTGTATTTCCTTTACCTTTAATTTTCTTTATGTATTCCTGTTATTCTAAGGGAATCTACTCTAATTTCTACATTTTTTTCATAATTAACATATGAGACCAAAATGGATTTTAACTGTTGCTCAAATTCTTTCAGCTGCCAGTATGCATTTGGAGCATAGGTGTTCAAGAACAGATCCTACTAAATAGAAATTTTCTGACTCGAGCTATCAAATGATCAATGAACTCAAATTTCAATTATAAACAGACAAAGAAAACACAGAATCTACGCAGAATTCTAACAAAAATTGCTTATTTTTAAAAAATTGTAAGAGAATATAACTACCCACTAAAATCACCTGAAGGAAAATCATAAAAGGGAGAAAGAAAGAAAGCGTACTTATTAGCTCGGGACTCAACGCCAGAATTCTTCTGGGAGAAGACATCATGGGGGACGATTTTCTTCTTGGCGCGGTGGAATTCGACGTCGGGGGCTAATTCCTTGGCTTTCTTGGCCTCTTCCTGGGTTTTGTAAAGCTGGGCCTTGAGCTCGAGGATGGAGGAGGCTCCCACACCTTCGATGGCCTTGTGCTTCTTTGGCATCACAGAAGATTCCGTTAGCCATCCTAGTGATTCCACCACCCTCTTATTCCTCCCCTCTTCCACCATCCTCCTCTTCCTCTTCTTCTTCTTCTTCTTCGAATTAATTGATTCGATTATTGCCGCTTCAAAAACTCTCTCTACTACCGGAAAGAGAACCGGGGAAGACGACGGAGACGAGGGAGGTATCTGACTTAGGGATTGGGAGCTTCACAGCGGCAGAAGCCTAGTGCTGTCAATGGGTTGGGGTCCGACTCGATTAGACCGGTTCTGGTTCCAGTATCTGATAGATCGGTTCCGATTTTTGATATATTGTCTCGATTATTATTAGTTTGAGATTGATTCTACAGAATACTGAATCGATTGAGACCGAGAGGCATTTCAACTTTTCAAGATTCGATTGTCCAGAAAATCGATTCATTCAGTTAGTCTAAAATTACAAATCCTATCGGTTCTGGTTTGGTTCTAAATTTTTAATATTTTTTATCAGGTTAATTTCGATTATACCTATATCCTTAAATTTCATTTGGATTCAGTGTCAACATCATTTGTGTAAAAGCACAATGAAAAAATTTTACACTGAACTATATAATAAGTGACCGTTATATTTTGAAAATCATGATAAAAAAATATAAAGTTTTACAACATAGCATTTACACTTTATACTTTATGAGGTTTTATATAGATTTACGATGTAAAATTCCATTTCATTCAAATGCCAACAAATCTAAACTGGAATAAAATTTTACCCTAATCAAAATTACACTTCTTTCAAATGCCTACAAATCTAAATTGGAATAAAGTTTTACATGGATTCACGATATAAAACTTTATGCTTGATGAGGTTTTACATAGATTCATGATGTAAAATTCCATTTCATTCAAAGGCCAACAAATCTAAACTGGAATGAAATTTTACCTCAATCATAATTACACTTCTTTCAAATGCCTACAAAACGGAATCAATATAAATTTTATATGAATTTTTAATTTACATTGCTTCCTAAGGCAAAATAGGGATGCCAATAAGTCATATCATATCAAATTCGAATCTGAAAGCTAGATTTGGATACATCGCTTGATCCTAAGGAATCGGATACCCGATATACCGATAAGATATTCAAATTCGAATTCGAACCATAATTTTGGAAATCGGATGAATTCTTATTGATCGATCGGATTTTTTTATTGAATACGGGATTTTGGATCTACGATACCTCTAGTTTGTGGACCTCAAAACTTGCCAGTTGCCACTTGTTCCATTTTACATGGAAACCGCTGTGTGAGAGGAAGGAACTGGAAAAGGAGTCGAGAGCTGATCAGACCGGTTTTTTGATGGGTTTGATGACATTTCCGGTTCGACCCCAGAAAGCCATTACTAGTTACTACACGCCAATTCCTTGGCACCCAAGATTCTGATGATCAATCCTTCCTGGCTTCTTTTATAAGGCTATGTTTGGTTTGAAAGAAAAGGTTGGAAAATCTATACAAGATTTGTAAAGTTTCTTTATCTTTTCCTATTTTTATCTTTTCCTTCCTTTCCATAGTTTTTCCTTCAAACCAAACACAGCCTAAATGATTTTATTTTCTGGGAAACTCCCAAATGATTTAAAACTTTTATTCACGGTACTTCTCCATCTCTCTCTCTCTGCTAGTCAAGTGCTTATGGAACAATTCACTCTTTGAAATAAATAAATAAAATGTTTATAATGTTCTTTTCTTCTACATACTCGTTCAAAGACTTAACCAGCAAGAAAACCAAGCTTCAGCTTCTGACTGTATTAAAAAAACAACCTTTTCCATGCAAAAAGTTGAAACAGAAAGCACATAAGAATGATCTTAATCTATGAAACTTGACCCAGAAAAATAAAATAAGGGAACCAACGATTTGAATGAGCCTGCAGAAGCTGGGCAATGTCCTGGTCAATCGAAATATAATTTCTCCATTGCTAGCAGCTGGCTGGTTAAAGAAATCTCTAGTAATTGGCCACGCCATGGTGAAACCTTATTACCTGCTCTAGTGCTATCTTATAAACATCAAGTAATCTCAACATAACTTGAAGAAGAAAGCAGCACAGATACATGGAAATCATGGCTCAAGCAGCTTTAGCAGGAGAGGTCATCAATCTCTTATTTCCTGTCTTCCTCTCACTTTGCCTCTTCTTTCTCTTCATCAAGCTCATTAAATCTGCATCATCAGCTACAGGTCCACCACTTCCACCAGGCCCACATCCATGGCCTGTCGTCGGCAACATTTTTCGCCTGGGAAGGAAGCCCCATGTTAGACTCAGCCAATTAGCGCAAGTTCATGGTCCTCTCATGTCACTAAGTCTAGGCAGACAACTTATCGTTGTTGCATCATCGCCTGCAACTGCAACCCAAATTCTCAAGACCCATGACAAAATACTCTGTGGTCGCTATGCTCCGGTCTCTAGCAGACGCAATGATCAATTGAAGTATCTGGATAACTTCTTGTGGACTGAGTTGTTCTCAACCAGAGCAATTGATTCTCAGGCAGCTTTGAGGGAGAAGAAGGTCAGGGAGCTGATACGCTATCTGGGTTCAAAGGAAGGGGAAGTAGTGAACATTGGAGAAGTAATGTTTGCTACTGTTTTCAACATCCTGTGTAATCTTTTTCTGTCAAAAGACTTCATTAGCCTGGAGGATGATGAGATTATGAAGGGAGGGATTAAGAGACTTCTGAGGAGTATTTCGGAGGTGGCGTCTACTCCAAACTTGGCTGATCTTTTCCCCATATTAGGTCCATTGGATATTCAAGGGCTAAACAAGAAGGCTAGAGAACTGTTTGTGAAAATTACTGCCATGTGGGAAGATATCATCAAAGAAAGAAGAGAAGCACAGAGTGCTGGTGGCCATGTTTCAAGGCAAAGGGATCTTCTGGATGTTCTAATCGACAACAACTTCAGTGATGATCAGATCAACAATTTACTACTGGTTTGTTCTCTCTCTCTCTCTCTCTCAAACACACACACAGTGCCACAAACAGACACACTAGGCCAGACTGACCAGGACCATAATTGAATGGCTTGAGTGGAGTAAATACATGGATTTTGTTTACAGTGTATGGGCTTTATGAGTTGATGTGGTGAACTCAGGCAATTTCTTGTGGCTGCCACTAAAGCAAATTCACCTATTTCCTTGTGGAAAGTTCCCTGGTTCCTTGATTCTATGCCCTCAAAATGTAATCCTTTTAAGTAGTGGAAGCAGGGATTCATGTACCAGACCCATCTTAAAGAAGCCAAAAATAATGGGTCAAGGAAATAGGAAGCCATGGATCTGAAAATCCAGATAACTACCAGTAAGTAAAGCTACCTGTTCAGAAATCAGAAACTAATGGCGTTAATCCTTGTATTGCAGAAGTTGTTCACTGCTGGTACACACACTAGTAGCTCAACAATTGAATGGGCAATGGCGGAGATGATGAAAAATCAAGAATCCCTGGTCAAAGCTCGTATAGAACTAGCAAGAGAGATCAAAAGAGAAAACCAAGTAAGAGAGGCTGATCTCTGTAACCTAGTATACCTGAATGCCTGTCTGAAAGAGACACTGAGACTACACCCTCCTGCGCCATTCCTCCTCCCTCACCGAGCCATCAAAACATGCACAGTGATGAATTACACCATTCCAAAGGACTCTCAGGTCTTTGTGAACGTATGGGCAATTGGGCGGGACTCCATGGCTTGGAGCAACCCATTATCCTTCAATCCAGAGCGCTTCCTCTCGTCAAATTTGGGTTTCATGGGGAATAATTTTGAGTTCATACCGTTTGGTGCTGGAAGGAGAATCTGCCCGGGACTACCCATGGCTGGCAAGCAAATTCAACTAATCATGGCCTCCTTGATCTACTGCTGTAATTGGTCTCTCCCAAATGGCACTCACCCATCCACGCTAAACATGAATGACAAGTTGGGGGTTGTGTTGCAGAGGGAACAACCTCTACTCCTCATTCCTAAACTGAGAAGGAGAAATTATTAACAAATTTCTTTTCTTGTAGATTGTGTACAACTATACATTGATTCGTTGGTTAATTGGTTGAGAAACTATTTAATTAAGAAATAAACTAATTGTAAGGATGCATTCATACATATTTTTTTTATCTGAAATGGTGATTCCAATTTGTTGTGGTAATACAACAATAGAAATTTCTTGCCTTGTAGACTACATTTTTCAGGTGCATTTTGGTCAATAAAATTCCTACTGTTCTGTCCTTTATGCCATTGAGTTGGTCCGGGTAATAAATGAATCTTCCCATTGGCAGGAGCTGTTCTGCTGTTCATTGCTGGTACAGACACTAGTGTATTAACTATTAACAATCGAATTGGGATTGACAGAGCTGTCAAAAATTTGAAGAGATAATGATCAAAGGGCGCCCTGAACTAGCAAGAGAGATGAAAGAAGAAATTGTGAGAGAATTTGATTTATGGCAATTACCATTCTTGAATGCCTGTGTGAAAGAGGCATTGAGATTGCACCTTCATGCACCATTCCTCCCCCTTTACCAAGTCGTTGACACTCGCTTAGTGATGAAATACGCCATTCAAGAGGTCTCCCAAATCTTTGTTAACATGTGGGCAATTGGACATGACCCTGTGGCTTGGAATGATCCATTATCCTTTAAATTGGAATGATTTCTTCAATTGGATTTGGAATTTTCACACCTTTTGGTGTTGTAATGATTTAATTTAGGTTTGAAAGTGTAAGTTTATGATAAAACACATAAATCACTCTTTGTAGATGCTTCTTAGTCACTCCAAGGAGTTTAATTGTGTTTTGACGACCAAAACATATCTGCTGGTTACATGAAGGGAGCCACCAGTCTGTTGTGCTTAATCATCAACTTCAGTAAAATTTATGCCAATGTTACTATGTGGATTGCCTCCTCTTTATGCAATCATTTTGATTTTTGATGTGAAAAGTATTAAAAGAGAACCCCATACAGGACTCACTAAATGATTGGCCTTGGTTTTGAAATAGGGCACTTGATTAGTAATGAACGTTGAGTCCAAACCCCACATCCGGGGCCTTACTTGTTGGACCGAGTGGCTTATGGCCCTCGATATTATCCTCGACATGTAAGACTATCCATAGGCCAACGAAAATAACCACATGATCGATGAAATATCTGCTCCATGTGGACCAGCATGCACACAATCAACACTTTTTTCTATTATTATTATTATTATAAAATAAAATCTGTTTTGACTTATCTCTTTTAGATTTTGTCGATTAAAATAGTTATTGGTTGAGAAAATGTCTCAACAAGCAGGGACAAGTATCTCATCCCAGTGCAGGCTAATCCTAATTATTTAGAGAAATTTGTGGGTAATTCCTATAACAAACCCAATAATTATAAAAGGGTCCATAAATAAAACCCAAAGTAAAGAGTGCACTTGGATTATAGAGGACATATTTCCCTCTCAGCATAACACTCTCTTAATCTCTCTTATCTTGATTATTAGCAATTTTAATTGTGGTAGAACATTGCCCTCCACTTGGGCTGTTGAAAAAGTTTGGGCCCAGTATCCAAACTTGGCACACGTTCCTGGAATATCATCAACACCATCAAAGTCTTTCATTACCTTGTACTAATGTGTTGTTTACTTCTCTTGCAATGTATTTCAGCAGATCTGTTTTCCTAGAGAGCTGGAAAAGAGCCTTCTGGTTCCTCCACTCAGTTCCATTGGTGTATGTGATTGCATTACAAACCACAGGTTTCCTGGCCTTAAAGTAGGATAAATACTGAAAGTTCTTCCACAAATCTCTTGAGCATCCAGTTAGTCATACGAACTAACAGGGTTCCAATAGCACAGAAAAGTCAAACCAGTAACATTAGGAACCATAGGGGAACGATCCATTCAAAGAAAAAGTAGTCTTGATTGTGTTTTAATTATTGAAATATTGTCAGGAAACTGGTATCAGTAGTCATTTCAGTCACACTAAACAAAAAAAAGTGAAATATTCAGAAAATAAATGCATTGCAACACAAAAGAAAACGTGACCCAAAGGTTCAAACACATAATTCAGGAACTTTGGAGAGTCAGTGACGCTTCTTCCCTGTTGCAACTTCCCAAGCTTGTAAGATATGGTTCACAATTTCCTCCACACCAAGCCCATGCTTAACCTGCATATATCTCACTGGTGTAGATACATAGTTGTCTATGGACAAAAGCATGTGGAACTCTAAATTTTCTTTCAGTGTTTTCTTACATATAAAACCCATTCAAAGTGGTTCAAACTCCTAAGATTGGCAATCTGACAATTGAAATTAAAGAAGCTCTGAGAAAAAAACGAAAACAAGAATGGCAGTAAAACTGGATGTGTCCCAATATGTGGCAATGCATGGAAAGATTTGTCACCAAGTTTACTAGATCAGTGTATAAGATTTTAAGGACAAGAAATGCTAAACAAAAGGAATAAAATACCCTTGTGTCTTATATAAAAATTACGAATACACAGTTTAACCAACAATAGAAGGATCAGGTTTCGGACTTGTCTTGCAGTCTATGTGGGAGCAGTGCTGAATCTACTGATCATTTGTGTATCCATTGTCCGTATTCTGCTCAGTTGTGGAACCATTTCCTCAGCTCCTTGAAGGTATGCTGGGTGATGCCGAGGTCAGTAAAAGAGCTATTGTGTTGCTGGCAGCTTATGGGTTTGAGCAAGAAAAAGAATGTCTGGAAGATGGTTCCAATTGCTGTAATTTGGTCCATCTGGACAGAGGAATAGAAGGATTTTCAGTAACAAGATTCTAAGTCCGGAAGAGTTAATTCAGAAATCAGTGGGCAAGCTGATTTCTTAGGTGTCTGTGGCTGCGGATTTTAGAAACTGTAATGTGTCAGATGTATTTATTTCTAGCTCTTGATGGAAAGTGTATTTGCTGATTTGATCAGTCAGCCTGTTCTGGGACTGATCTCAGCCTCCTGTGTGTAATTTCTTATCAATATATTACTTTACCTTTTCCAAAAAAAAAAATATTTGAGGTCACAATGGAAACACTGGAAAGTGTAATTGAGAGAAGATTAAGACATAAGAGAGGAGTATCAGAAAAACCATCTTTCTTTATGGCATGAAGATCAATTATTAAGGCTATATTCTAAGTTCAAGGAGAAGCTTTGGGAAAGAGGAAAGATCTTAACATGATTTTTTTTTGTTAACCAATAAGGCATAATATGGGGGACCATTATTTGGTGTTAATGGTAAAATCTTGGACTGTCAAGCATGAGAACGTGGGTTCAAGTCTGAGAGCAGCCACTTTGTGCAAAAAGGCCAAAGGTTAGGACTATATCCAGTCCACTCCTCCCAAGACCCCAGATGACAGGGATCTACATTAGGAAATGGCCTTTTAATCAGTAAGGCATTGTTAGAGTACACAAAACATGGGTATTTTGGTCATTTGGGTTTATCTATTTGAGAGTGAAAGGTCTGTTTTGTTTAAGTTTAAGTTATGTGTCCCATCACTTATGAGGGACAATATGGTCTTTCTTGTAACTATGTTATTGGAGATAAATACAAGTGGGTCGACTAGAGAGGACTGATTTTCCTCTACTGGCCGAACCCTTCTTCTTCTTCTTCTTCTTCTTCTTCTTCTTCTCCTCCTTCTTCTCTACTGTAACCTAGGACTAAATAAGGTTTTCACAGGTATAATATAGAACTCTTAGATATAATGGAAGAAAATAACTTGAAAACAGGGATAATTTGCAGAGGTAGTGCCTCCAAAACAAGGACAGAAATATTCAGGGAGGTCTTAGAACTCAAGGTTTCAAAAACATGTAAAACTAAGAAATATATAATATATATGGTGTAGTTTTAGCAAAGATATGAGTAAGCATATGGGCCCATAGGAAAGTGTGGGAACCCAGATCTACTGATGAAGCTTCAGTAACAAAACATGGTGCTGAGCCACCATAGTTGGATAAGGGTGCATCTCTGGGGGCATTTGGGTCAATGGACCTACAAATGTTGATTACCAAAATGTCTCAGAGTCACTGCTTCAGATAATCAAGACAATTCAGTACTATGTTTTAATGCTGAAGCTTCAGCAGAAAATTAATACTTGACATATGGCCCTTTTGGGCCCCAAACCATGGCATAAGGGGCCATAGGAATGTGTGGCAGTGTGGGAGCCCAGATCTACTGATGAAGCTTCAGCAACAAAACATGGTGCTGAGCCACCATAATTGGATAAGGGTGCATCTGGGGGCATTTGGGTCAGTGGACCTACAAATGTTGATTACCAAAATTTCTCAGAGCCACTGCTTCGGATAATCAAGGCAATTCAGTACTATGTTTTAATGCTAAAGCTTCAGCAGAAAATTAATACTTGACATATGGCCCTTTTGGGCCCCAAACCCTCTTGCTATGTCAAGGATTTCCATGTCATTTAGATTTATTCACAAAAGAGATACACTAAGGGGCTGTTTAGTTCCACTGCCGTTTATTTGTACGAATTTTCCCTTGAAAATCGGGACAAAATGTTTTTTGTTACTTTATGACAGCTAGTGCCACTACATAAGACGAACAGTAAAAAAAGGCTCACCACTGGGGGAAACGTAAAAAATGACGTTTCCTCCAACAATGGCTCTCACATAACCTGAGAAAAACGTTTTATTGATAAATGGATTAACCAAACAAAATTCAGAATCCATTGGTGAAACGCCTATTTGGTGCTGAGCTGGCACCAATTTTCTGATAAACGGCAATGGAACTAAGCACCATCTAGATGGAACAGGATAGATTATCGTATTTCAATGCTCAAAGATCAAAAGTTTAAGAATTCCCCCAAAACATATATGTGCATGCACATGCATTTCCATATGCAAATACAACCTAAAAATTGTTAAATAAATATTTTAGTGATTTAAAAGAAAATGCTTAGAAATAGTAAAAAAATTGTCATTTAAGAATGACCATTGGCATTAGTTAAATTTTGAACATTTTAATCCTTTGGAGAATTCTATTCTTCTATTTCACTTTTAATAAAAAATCAGGAATCAAATTCCCCAAGTTATGAGTAAAATCCAAATATGAGAATTTTCACTAGAACTGTTAACCATGAGCTCCAGTCTGGAGTTTGACCTTTTGGATGGTTGCAGGTATATATCAAGAGTATGCTACAGACCTGAGCAAAGACAAAGGGTCCACCATCCCGCATCCGCAGTGCATCACGTTCCATGACTGCCAAGTCAGCTCCAACTGCTGGTGCAATGTCAGTCTTGTTTATTACCTATATTTAGAAACACACAACTCAGGTTAATAGATTTCACCAGAAGCTGAAACAACAGCAACTATGACATTTATTAACGTACTAGGAGGTCAGCTTGAGTAATGCCTGGACCACCTTTTCGAGGTATTTTATCACCACCAGAGACATCTATTATGTATATGATATAGTCAGCCAACTCCCTGCTGAAGTTAGCAGCTAAATTATCTGCACCCAGATATTTATAACATGTTAGACATCCTTAGGTTAAAGCTCAGTTCCATGGACCTGGTTAGGAAACTAGAAAATGTTCTGTTCTCAGATTGGGATTAGGGAGACTCCAAATAACTTAAAATTACCAATTCATGAAACGTGACCAAAGTACTGCATCAAAAAGATCAGAAAATTACCTCCTCCAGATTCACAAAGAAGTAGGTCTGTTTTATACAAGTTAGAAAGCTCCTCAAGAGGACCTAGGTTAATACTGATGTCTTCCCTGATTGCAGCATGTGGACAGCCTCCAGTTTCTACAGCACGTATTCTTTCCTCTGGAAGTGCACCGTGCTTTATGAGAAACTCTCCATCCTCTTTTGTAAATATATCATTGGTCACCTGAAACAAGTTACAGAATTAAGATCCAGGATAAAAATTAGAGGCAACATGTGAAGATGTTGGGCTATCAAGTTTGCAATTGCAAGAACTGAAGTTAGAAAATAACTTAGTTGTTTTTTTTATCCTTTTCTTTTTTTTCCTTTCTTTTTCCCTATTTTTTTCAAGAAGATAACTGATGCATTGAATTATATGGTAAAATGAAGGTTTTCCATGAGGGAACATGCAAGATGCAAAAAATATGAACAAGCAACCCAACTATTTTGGATAAAAAGTTCTCACAATACAAAAAGCCCTCCCAACCCATGTTTGGCATAGCCTGTAGGATTGTTGTTTCTCTTATCTCATTAAAAAGGTGAACCAGTCTCTAAAGCCCAATTCCCATAATCAGGTTCCATCTGAGTCTCCCTCTATGACTATGATAGGAATCTGAAGTTGACCTTTCGGGCCCCAAGAGAACTCCATAATCTCCATGGGGTATGGGTTCCAGATTGATCTGTCAATCAAACCAGTCTAACGAGGCCATCATAAACAGGGGGGGGGGGATTCCCATCTGCATATGGTTGATAGTTCTTATCCAATGTGATCAAATCCTTCTTTTTTTCTCTGATAGAATCTTACATTCACTAAAATACACGTCGGATCCTATAACTAAAATAAACAATAAGAGTTTTATCATTATCAGATTATGAAATCAAGAACAAAAAATAGTAAAATATAATGAGTATCTGAGTCACTTCACTCCCAAAGAAGATGTTGGCATATGTAATTCAAAATACAAGTATATAAATAATGACATGGATAAAGGTAGTGGTTTCTATCCACTGAGATGATGACATCTTTATTATAATATTATTTATTTTTAATCATTTATGTGCATAGGGCCACTCATAATATGGGATTTATTGAGTGGTTAGTAAATATGAACATTAGTATTCAATTGTTCAACCAACTACATGTCTTGACTTTAATATTAGTAGATGGAGTCATGGAGATTGAACATAGAGGATAACAATCATATTTCTTATTGAGAACAATAGGATGAGTTTACTTTTATACTTGAACTTATGGCCAATATACATTTTCTGTTCATGCAGTTATGTTGGCTATTGCAGAGGGTGTAGCTTTTGCTTTTCCAAAGGTGATGCAAAACGAATGGAGAGAGAGATTTAACTTTTAAGAGGGAGCAATTTTCACTCTGAACCATTACACTGATAGCCTTGTGGTTAGAATTAGAACAAAGGGTTCTCGATTTTGAAACCAGATGTTGAGGCTTGGTACTATAACATATTACAATGATCAAACCTCCACTTCCTGAATAGGAAAAAAGAGAGAACTCCATATAATGAAGAAGGTTATAAAGTACCTTGGTTCAATAGTTTATAAAAAGGGAGAGATCGAGTCTTACGTGATAGATGAATACCACTTACATTAAAAGAAAAATTCTATAAAACAGTTGTAAGGGAAGCTATGCTTTATAGAGCAGCGTGTTGGGCGGTCAAGAAACAACATGTCCAAAAAAAATGAGTGTGGCATAAATGTGTATGCTGAGATGGATGAGTGGAAAACTAGAAACAATAGGGTCAGAAATGAAGTCGTTTGAAGGAACCTAGAATTACCTCCAATAGGCGATAAAATGAGAGAAGTTAAACTGAGATGGTTTGCTCATGTGCATAGAAGACCATCTAATAGCACCTGTAAGAAGTGATTTGTTGCAAGTTGAAAAGGCTAGAAGCAAGGTTCAACAATTTTGTTACATAACGGCTGATACATATAATATTTGTGGGCTACCAATATGTTCATTTTAAGGAATTTTAAAAACTGTTTGTTTTATATATTAAATAATGTTATTTCCCTCCCCTTGTGAAATTTTGAAACAAAAAAGTGCAAGGTTTGGCTAAAAGAGCTAGAGGTAGACCAAAAAGGACACTGGTTGAAGTAGTAAGAAATTATTTTAACGCTCATAATTTAACAATGGATATGGCATTAAACAGAATGGAATGGTGAAATATGATTCATGTAGCCAACCCCGTATGGTTGGGATGATGACGATGATGGAAGACAGGGAAGGGAAGTTACCAATGATTATGAGAATATATGCCTACTCTCCCTCTAGAAATAAAACCCAATTCCCTTGGTCTGCTCTTAGTAAGGATATTGCTAGGTGCATTTTCTATGGTTGTTCCCTTTGCAATCCTATGCCTTCTGGACCTTTTGGTAAAGGAATGGTTCTTTCACATGGTAGAGGTGCTATGATTATTGCCTTGTCTAGACAGTGGGAGATGGAAATTCAGTAAGAAGGGGAGTCCTTCTCACCTCCAAGGTCCCAAGTACTCCTTTCCTCTTCATATTTTGAGGGATTAGATCTTGAGGACAATACACAGATTGTTACAGGCTGCATGTTTAATTCTTCTTCATGCTGGTGGAGTATGAGAAACGCCACTGTAGGGCGGTAGAGGTTAGATTCTTGGTGGTTGGGATGAATACTCATTCTTCTGGATTCTAAGATCTTCCAGACCCATCACTAATTTTCTTACTAATGAAAATGTGAAGGGAGAACCTATATACTGGGGTTTTTCTTTGCCAGCCTAAGGGCCATGCTTCGTATTGGATTGAGGTGCCTCTTCCTCTTGGCCTTTTCTTCCTGTTTGGATCTCCATTTTCTTAGGACCGTTTGTCTTATACCCCTTTATCCTCATAAATAAAATACTTTATTTTTATTTAAAAGAAAGAGAACCAAAAACTGCTAATAATAAAAAAAAATTGACAAATCATAGTGGTATACTGCTTTTTTCGTCCCATCAGTTGCTAACACAACTTCATATTGATAAACATGAAATATTAATGCTTAAAGCCTGTAGGGTACATTGGTAACTCAAAACAAACATTGCACCAAATACATTTTTCAAAATACGGAGAATAACTAGATTTTTTTTAAAAAAAAGTACATGGACTATCAATGAAATATCAAAACAGATAATACATACTGCGGCAAGACTGTACTTGTCACGCAAGAACTTGCATAATTGCAGCATTAAAGCTGTTTTTCTGTAGAATAATATAAAAATTGTGTTAGTAAATATGAAAAAAAATAGCATGTGAAACCTAAATGTTTACTGTAGGTTATAAAAAGAAAAATTAGGATGCCCGTTGAAGGCAACAGATTTGGAACATTATAGTTTCCTTTTATCCTCATTATTTTTTCCTTTCTTTCTTCAACAATTGCTGCCATCTTTGGGTTAGGACAGAAACAGAATCAGGTGAGTGAATTAGCCCTCCATTCCTCAAGTTTTCAGATTATACAGTTTGACTACAAAGAAGATGGCATGCAGAACCAAGAAACTTGTGGAGCTGTAAGCATAAATTCTGCAGTTTCAGAGGATTAAAATTGAGAGTTGAGGATTAAAATTGAGTGGTAGGGGATTTCAGATGAATTTTTCCATAATGCAAGCACACCCACAGGAAAACTAGGAGTGAGATTACAATAAGTAGAAAAAATATTAAAATACAAACTGAAGCTAGAGATCTTTTTTTTTTTCAAAGGTAGAGTATCAATATGAATTGTTGTATGTGCAAATCCCTTTACGCCAGAATTCATGTACAAGTAAGGTTCTGTACAAAAAGATAGGATATGCAGTGGAAAAATATACATATTAGTGAGAGTTGCAAGTTTTGATATAATCATAGATATCATAACCAAAAGTACAGACGTTAGAGACTAAATCCCTAACCAAAATCTAAAAAAAAAAAACTAAATCAGTTACAAAAGAACATAGTAGAAATCTCCCAAATAGGCATCTGAAATTTTGGAATAAAATCATCATAGTTTGTCAGTATCAACTTACATTTAAGAACAAAATCCCGGAAACCTCAAAACCACAACGATTAATAAATGGAGGGAATTGATTATATTGGTAGAAATCCATAATCAGAAACCAAGAATAGATTCAAATTAAATAATAAATATCAAAATATAATGAAAATCAATACATTTTCACTGAAATATAATAATAACTACCAAAAACCAAAGAAATAAAACAAATTAGAAATAAATAAAACATAAAAAATTGAAACAAAGTGCCAGAAACAAATACAATTTTCCCTCCGTGTGAATCTTAGAGCAAAACCCACTAAACGTACACATTACCAATTTTCTTTTTTTTCACCATTTTAACCCAGACCCCAGATCTCACATAAATAATAAAAATCTCAGCTTTAATTAAGAGAGTAAAAAAACACTGGTAGTCATATGAATCAAGAAATGAAATACCCTCCAAATATGAGCAAACTGAGAAATCAAACAGAAAACAGAAACCATACCCAGTCCCAACGGGCCCGCCAATACCAACAGTAAAAGCTCGTTCATTGAAATCTCTGTTGGTAAGTGGAGGAGCTCTTCTGCTAAAAAACCCAGGTGAGTATATGGGTTCATGTGAATGTGGTGCCAACCCATCATGGCTATGGTAAATTCTCCCATCAGCATCTACCCATGATGTCGTTTTTGAAGAAGCATCTTGAGCTCTGATACACAGCGAGGAAGAAAAACAAGAAACTTAGAAGATTAATAAATCATATAAACTATCAAACCAAGCATGTCTGAGAAATTACTCATGGGTATGATGATGGTGGTGATGATTGTGATCGTGATACTGTTCATGGCTGTGATTATGATCTTCGGACGCCATTGACTGTTCTTCAAGCTTCTACTCCTGTTAGAAGTGTTATGAGAACTAAGACAGAAAGAGATGAATTGATGATGATTGGTTGGTTAATTTTACGAAACTACCCCTACTTTTTCCTTGGTGACATAACACATGTACCTCTAAATAAAAAATAGGTAAAACTCATTGACCTTTTAGAATCTCTTAAATTCATCGTAACGTTTGAAGATGTTGGTAAGTTGACGTTAAATACATCAACGGTTGGTAGATTACTATTTCATCGTTTGTTTTGTTATAAATAGAAAATAAATCAAAACTTTGATAAAAAACAAAAAAATATATTTCAAATATTTTGGTTTTAAAAAAAATTCTTTGCCCAGTAAAAAGGGAATGCTTTTGATTAAAATCAAATTCATCTCACCTCCATATCTATTTACATAGTACAATTGTCACTTTATTCCTTTTAATTTCAAATGAAGAGACAAGATCAAGAAAATATCTATGGTCAATAGGACATGTGGTTCTGTAGAACCTAATGTCCACTTCTATCAATGTCAATTAGAACAAAGGTGTATTGAATAAAAATTAGATTGACATAAAAATATGTTTAATAAGGCTGGCATGCCATTCAAGGGTAGTTTGGTCATAAAAAATGTTTTTATGTTGACATAGACAGCTTCTAACAATGAACACTAAGAGTGCTCTAACTGATGGTGAGTTTTAGAAAACAAAAATCACTTACATGGGGTTTCTAAGACGTTTTGAAAAGTTATGGCGAGTTTAAGAGAAATGTTGAAAAGTCATGGTGAGTTTTAAACAATTTCCTTAAAAATAATCAATCTAATGTGTATGATTAATGATACAAGTTTATCTATCAACCATGAAATGGATGAACAACTTGTTAGAGAGTGTATGCCCTTAATTCCAATCAAATTGATGTATAGATATATTTATTGTAAATGAATAAAAGTACATTATTGTTTCATGTTGGTATTTGTATATTTTTGTGTAATTACCCCTTAAACTAGACACTTATGAAACTCGTGTTAGTTTAAATTGTTCTCAACTGTTGGATAGACTTGGGGAGTCGATCTTACCAAGACTGACACTCATGTGCTACCAAAGAAGTTGGGGCAGCTTGTCTCAACTGATAGGGTTAGACCCAAACATATAGTGTGTGTTTGGATGAAACACTGAACCCAGACCATTTTCCAATTATGCCTTGGACCTTGGAGATTGATGGGCAAAGTTGAAAAATTACACATAACACCTAAACTTGATTATGGTACTGTACTAGGTGTTGGATTGGACTGTCTTTGATATGCCAATCAGTGAGATCCATCAAGGGTCAAAACTTGGGTATGTTGGGGCAGTCTGAGAATTCACTTGAGTGGGTGATCATAGTGATAGGATCGACCCCTTTGTCGGACAAAGTGAACGATAGGGCTTACACACTCTCTAATGGAAACCTAAATTGTCGGTAGTGTATTTCAACTGTGTTTGAGATTTGGTTTTGCAATATATATATATATATATATATATATATATATATATAATATATATATATTAATGTTTTGTGAAAAATGTTTTTAATTTCCAAGATCCATTCGGGTAGAGAGTGTGACACTAAACCTTATAGCCAGGGGAGAGGTCATTTCTTGTTGGGTAGTGTTGTGATTTATGGGCCGAGAGGTTAAGTGTAAGAGACCATTATAGGGCTGATTACCAAATGGATTTTATCTTATTTAAGTCCATTATCTTTGGATCTTCATAGGATGACTGAATTCAAGGATCAATTAGGTATAAATGTTGGGTTCATATTGAGCCCATAGTGATATGCTCACGCGTTCACTACGTTTAGCAGTAAATTCGGCTAAGCCTTTTCATAGAGGTTGGGCTGAACCCATGTTGACTTATGTGAGGTCATTATGGGGTCTCATGCCATACAAATCAGACCTAAGTTGGCTATGCAACACCTTGGGGGGTCGTGAGCTTTTGAAAGAAATGGGCCTAAAGCCCATAATTAGTAAGATTAAGTAGTCTATCACATGACAAGTGTCATGTGCTTTGGGTCAAATTTGGGTTTGGAAATGGGTATGGAGCACCCATCATTTAAGAAGATATGGTTTATCTCTTAATAAAGTCCAGATCCAAATTAGATTTGGATAATCTCATAATTTGATTAATTAGGAGAGTGCTCCAAAAGTAGATAAAAGAAAAAGATGGTGAACTAGACTATAACACCACTCACTCTTGTTCTCTTTTGTTCTCTTTTGTCTTTCAAGAAACCTTATCATGACCTAGGCTTTCAAGGATCGACAGAGACCAATTTTCTTCTGATTTTTGCAAAAACAATTTAGAGGAATTTCAGGCTCACCTTCCCCAGTTCGATCCAAGCAGTTAGGTTGCAGTTTTGTTGAAAATTGTGTTACTGAATTAGCTTCACCTATACACTGTGCCATATTTAGTGGAATATGGTTTTATGACTTATTTAGGCATGAACTTCCACCTTGGGATCTGCATTTGCGGTATTCGTATCAGGTATAAATTTCCCTTTTTGTTTGGTTTCAAATCTGGTTTGATTCAGTGCAAGATTGATATTGAAAAATGCAATTTTCCAAAACATAGGGAATTCGACTCCTAGAATGATTAGGAAATTTTTGAAACTTCGCCTAGCCATTTAGCATGGTTCGGCCATCCATATGATGGATCCTAACCCTTCCAACACATCTCTAGCCCTCAAATTTGGATCAAGGTTGATTAAATATTCTCAAGCATATGTGCAAGGCAGAGGGCACTCAAAGTGATTTGGGAGCATCGTTTATTTTGTGTATTTGGCACATTTGTAGTGAAAAAGACTGTGATCCCATAGTTTGTACTTGGGCTACCTGTTCTTTGTAGTGAAAATGGAAATTTTAATTGGTGTAAGTGGATATTTTGACTTTATTTTATTTATTTATAAACAATAGAAGATGAGAACTAAAATGAGAACTAAAACAATATGAGAACTAAAATGATATGATCCCAAGTAAAATTAAGGAAGGAAGAAGGTGGTTCAAATTCTTATTGGTTTTTGGGATGCAAAATATGTATTGTCAAGACTATCCATACATCAAGTGAGAGTGCAAGTAATTGTTATAAACAAACATATGTAGATTTAAACTGTGTACAAATTTTGCATTAGATTTAGATTTGCATTAATGAAACTAGCCTCTTTTATATATCTATATTATTATAAAAAATATGAATGAGGGTGTGAAACTTTTTTGACTAAAATGCTCATGTTTGTGTATTTAGTCCATCTCTAATTATGAGGATTGAAAATGTAATTTCAATTAATGCTTTTCACCTCATTTAATCCCCTCTCACTAAGTCTTATATTTAAGGTACTCCCATTCTCTCTTATTAAATCCTATACTTAAGTTATTTTCTTACTAATAAATGCTACTAGTTAGATCTATGTCCAATCATTTTTATCCAAGTGATGACTAAGCAATTCAACCATCTAAATCAAATTGATCAACCCATTAAGTCATAGTCAGATATATAATAAAATTTTTAAATAAAATAAATATAGAAAATTATAAAAGTGTAAGTTAGACACATTTATGATACTTTTATTATTCAAATTAAAAAATACGTGCAATAAACAAGAATTATTTTTATTGATGATGAAAATGAAACCCGAAACTTTGCAACCTAATATGAGGTGTTCACATAATTGGATTTGGATTTTGCAATGTACATTTGATTAATAAGGCTCAGTTTGGAAAGGTTACAAATACAAATATGTACAGTGCAAATACATAAAATATAATACAAAATACAAGGTTTTGCACTTTACATATTTGTATTTGTACTACTACCAAACTGAGCCTAATAAAAAAACAAAAATATAAAAAAAATGCATACATTTTATACAAAATTATGGATACATCATTATCATCATCTAGAATTGCCACGTGCAAAGCACATGCATATATACTTACTAGTAAAAAAAGTAAATGGATTGTGCCCCACATCACTCAACTTTTGTCATTGGAAATATTTTAAGGGTTAGGAGAGGATAGGGGTGGATTCGAGCCGAGTTAAGCCGAATACTTGGCTATTCGAGTTCGACTCGTTGAAATTGTGTTAGGCTTGAGCTCGAGCTCGACTCGAGCTAGAGACTTGAGCTTGAGCTCGACTTAGTTCAAAGTTTGCAAGTTCGAGCTTGGCTCAGCTCGAGCTCGACTACAAGCTAAGTTTTTTTTTTCTAAAAAAAATAAAAAGTATATATATAAAAATATTTTTTTTTTATTTTATATACAAAAAATTAAGAATTACAAAATTTATTTATTATTATACATATAATAATAAAAATATACATATAAAAATGTTTTTGTTTTACATACAAAAAATAAGAATTATAAAAATTATTTATTATTATACATAAAAAAATATTATATATATAATAAAACTTATTTACTATATATATTTATATATGTATATGTATGTATGTATATGTATGTATGTATGTATGTATGTATGTATGTATGTATGTATGTATGTATGTATGTATGTATGTATGTATGAATAAAAAAATATTTATTTATTATACTAGGCTCGATTAGGCTCGCGAGCCTCACGAGTCAAGATTCACTAGGCTCAAGCTTGGCTTGATTAGCAAACAAGCCTATATATCAGGCTCGAGGTTGGCTCAAAGGTTAGTTTAAATTGAGCCAAGTCAAGCTTTTCACGAGCCGAACTTGAATGGCTCGTGAGAAACTTGACTCATGGCCACCCTTAGGAGTGGATTATATGTTATTGTATGGTTAGAGTTCACCTATTGTAAAAAAAAAAAAGAAAGAAAGAAAGTCAGGGTCTCCGGAACAACCTAACCAGATTACTCAGTTGGATGTCTTGGAACAACTGACTTCTGTAGAGGGATTGCCCAAGCCCAACTCTATTCACAATGGGGCAATAAAGCCCAACAAAAGATGGATGTATACATCATGTTAAAAAATTGAGTTGAGTCTCTAACCAACCTGGACTGGGCCAGACAGCCCAAGGTTTAAATTCTTAGGGTTTGGCTTGGATTGACCCTCAACCTTACCCAAGCCCAAGTTGCACCTCAGCTCATTTGGCGGTTGGTTCAGGTTGAACCAAACATGATCAGTTGGCATCCTTGGCTGCAACCTGCAACATGAATGCGGAGTGTTGGTCTATTTCCCTTTTATTCAGCGAGTTGATATAGCATAGAATTGGTATGGTCAGAAGTGGCATATTGTAAAATTTCTTATTTTACAAGTTTGTGATATTTGATTCTTTCCTGTACTTGAAAAATGCCAATTAAGCATAGGAAGTTTAATTAGGTTCAGAAAAATGGAGTGACAATAGCCAACTCTGCCTCCATTGGATTTTCACCTAAAATCACATTATGAGAAAGAAGAATAATTAAGAGTTCAGAAGGATTAACTATGGTAAGGCTGTCAATGGATCAGAAGATCTTGATCCTAGCAGAGATAAAATCCAATCTGATTAAACTGGGTTTTGATATGACATTGTATATTTGTTTATAAATGGATCAACCCATAGGAATTAAAATTTTAGTTGAGGGCTTGAACTAAAACTCTGGTGTTTTGGTCCAAGCTCCCATTCAATTGAGGTACTTGGTAGATGCAAATAAAACAGTGAGAGAGTGGGAGTTTGGAGTTTGGGTGTATTTGGGTGCTAAGGTTTTGTGCGTGAGAGGTTGCTCAACCTGGCATTCTATTATTGTTTCTTTAGGTTATGTTTGGTTTAAAGGAAAAAGTAGGGAAAAGAAAGGAAATTGTATAGGTTTCCCTACCTTTCCTTTCTTTTCCCTACTTTTTCCTTCAAACCAAACATAGCTTTAGTAAATTTCTACTCCTCCACTGCTCATGGATATAGACCAAAAGGTCAAACCATGTAAATCTGTGTGTGCTTCGTTTTTCTTCTCTTCTCTTGCTTCTCATTATCTTTGCTTTTGCTTTTGTTTTATTGTGTAACCATTATTTATATGGTTACTAAGTGGAGCCTGGGTCAAAAACGTAATAAAGTGGGTCCTTGGCCCCTCTAAAACTTGAACTAAAACGTAAATGATCACTCTCTAAGGCTCCTCCAACTCCCAAAAGTTAAAAAAGAAAATTATTTATTTTTCTTTAAAAAAATCTATAATAGACCCAAATCTTATCAGGCCATTTTCCCCAAGCCCTACTTCTACTACTCCCTATTTTGTTATTTGTTAACATTTCTGCCATGTAAGGCCGATTTTCGAGAAATCAGCTTTGAGTCTGTTTGGTACTGATTCTCAAGGCCGATTATTTTTGTATTAGAGTTATATTCAATGCTATGTCATCCTAAAAAAATCAGAATCAGCTAAAAATCAGGAAATCATTTTTTGGAAAGGGCTGATTTCAAGTATCAATTTTTGGTTGGTTTCATGAAAATCATCAAAATCGACCAACCAAACAGAAATTACAACACTGATTCCTCTAACGCAGGTGTGGCTCCGACATGGCAGTGATTTTCAAAAAAAAAAAATAAATAAATAAATAAAATCATCATGGATGCCAAACATCTACCGGAAAACCAAAGCTTAGACACAAACACCAATTAACTTCAAATAAATGTATGAACACAAAATGAGAAATCATTACAATTTTTGTAGTAATCATGGTTAGTATCATAAGAAAATTCTTAGAATCTAACTGCATAACTTGATGACAACCCTCATAAGAGTTGCCTAAACCATCCCCGAATTTGTTCATCTTCTTCGGAGATTCTCCCTTTTCCAATGCCAATGCTGCTTGATCCGATGCCACAGTTTCAAGAAATCCAATCTGTCATAGCTGAGGAAAGAAACCCAACAAGGGCTAAAAGAATTAATTTGATGTTAGTTGAACCAGTCAATCCATTTCCTTTTCAACAGGGGGCATTCAACTCCTTTTGATCGTCTCTTGGAGAGATCTGTTGATCAGTGGGGATAATTGGTCCATTACCTAAAATCACTCCTTGCTTTTTCTTCATATAATCCCATTTGTCTTGGATGAGGTAGAGGAAAGCAATGAAAGAGATCTCAGCTGTGAAAAGTATAGTCCATACGCTTATACTTCTAGATGTCCTTTTATGGTAGTTTAGCAATCCAGTATATATGTTGATGATCCCCAGTGCAGAATGTCCAGTTCCAACTACCCAATGAACAAAATACCAAACACTTCTTCCTTTTGATCCTCTGTAGATTAAAAAACAACACAAAAAAGAAAAATGAGTTAAGTATACAGTAAGAAACTCTCTCTCTCTCTCTCTCTTAACAAATTTGGGATCACTTCCTGTTTAACAAATTTAAAAACAAATAGTTACTAAGAAGAATTAAATAGTTATAACTGAAATTGGGTTTTGAATTTTCTTCTTCATATAGGTGTTTCAAGTGATTCAATCAAGGTAAAGAGTTGTAAGAAAACCAAGGGAAAGTGGACCATTGTGATCAAGTTTGTTTTCATGCCTCCCCACTCACATTTAGGCTTCAGAAATGTCTTAACTTGGCCTCACTCACCAGATTGATTGACAAGGCTTTGTAACATTGAGGAAACCAATCAAATTTACCTTTGAGGCCTGCAAAACCCGATCAGAGCTTGCACCCATATGATACCATAGAGGGCCACTCCTATCCTTTGGTGAGTGTTATTGAAGGCATTTTGGAAATATTTGATGGACAAAATTGCTCCAACTGTAGAAAGAAGTACTGAAAGTGCCTGTTCCAAATGAAAACAAAAAAAAAAAAAAGAAGAAAATTCAACCATATGAACCGTGCATTAAGTTAATCTTGTAAGCCCCAAATTCCTTGACACTTGCACCTATACATGTTATGATTATAATGAGTTAAAACAAAAGTTGTTAACTCATTCTAATTTGTGCCTGCTTGAAATTAAACTAGTATTCTGGTAGAATAGAAAAAATTTCAAGCCACCAATGTCCTAATATAAAACTTGCCTCGATACATGTTTGTAGGATCAATGGTAAAGTGATATTGCAATTTTTCAATCTTTGAATTGTTACCCTTTTCTGGTCAACAGCATTTTTCCTTTCCAAAAGGAAAAACAAAAGGATCTATTTCTATTCTTATAGAGTATGTGTCAGGTATGGTATATCGGTTGAGAGAACCTTATGAATTTGAAAACAAAACTAGAATACTAGAACGGTAGTGATCATTTTAGTAACAAGAATATTATCAACTGCCCTTTGTAGCATGGGGTTTGGTGATTTAGAAAGGCCATGACCTAAATGCATACGCTATCTGATAGTCAATTCATGAATGGTAGCATTAGAAGCAAAAGGGGATGTTGTTGATTTTGGTTCACTAAATTACTTTTAATAATTACTTATCCTTATGTGTCCAAGTACTAATGATAACCTCTATGATCAACTAGAAGAGGAAAGAGGACCTAGTTATTTAACTACTTAAAAACTGTGGGCTAAATAAACTATTTCTACACCATGAACCATTTACTTTATAATCCTCCCCATCATCATTAAAGGCTGTAGTGGGGCATCTCATAAGTTGAAGACTTGTATGAACATTTTTCTGACTCGTAGAGTGTATAGGTCATGATTAACAGAAGGGAGAGAGAGAGAGAGAGAGATTCACCTGTAAAATAACATGACCATAGAAGAGAACCTTGAGTCTTCTCTTACATTTCTCTGTATTGGACATTCTGATTAGAAGTATCCCAACAGGCATTAGGAACCCCGTTGAAGCCCAAAGGAGAAACCCATGAAGTATAACTTCATGTGAGAGTTCTGGGCTCATCTGTAAATATAACAGAAAAGCAGCTGTAACATCAGTAGCTATATATCATGTGTTGTTCTACATTCAATGTATTGATTACAGCAGCATTCTGTTTGAATATGAAGGAAATATAGCCTGATCTGGATAATACAAAGAAAACATAAAAAAAAATGGAAAAAGAAATATAACAGTTAACATTCATGGGTCTAAAACAACTGTAGAGTTTATCAAATACCTTCTGACTGTCCTTTCTGATGCTCCTGCCAACTTGTTTGGCCTGTTCATCAGATGATTCCACCAAAGGTAGAAGAAGAAGAACAACGACAACAACAAAACTTGAAGGAATGAATAAAGAAAACAGCTCCCGGAGGATCTTCATCATTCTCTAATATAATTACTAGCTAGCCAGCTCTTTTTCTATTCTTATTGATGCAATGTGAACGATGGAAAACCAGTCCACCAACACAACAGAGAGAGAGAGAGAGAGAGAGAGAGAGAGAAAGAGAGAGAGAGAGAGATCTTCTAGAAGAATAATTGATGAACAGACAGGCTAACCTAGATGATCTTCAGTAAATGAACAGACCCATTTGAAGAAAACACCTCTGAATCTATCTATATATCTTCTGCCAGTAGGCTGCATTTGGAATTCCTTATTTTAAGGAACTTATCCTTTTTGCAGTTAAAAACTCAGTATTACCAGGGGCATTTTAACTGCAAAAATGAGATAAGTCCTTAAAATAAGGAATGCCAAATTCAGCAAAAGCCTCAGCATCTTATCTTCTTTCCCTCTGCATAGGCAAATGCGTTTGAAATTCTCCGATATTCCAAAGAAAGCAGACCCACCCTTTAGAGAGCTAATTAGTTGAACAAAGCTTCTTCATCTTCACTCCTGTATAAGCCGCATTGTCTTTCTTTTTAAAGAAGACAAGTGGGATTATCAGTAAGTATAATAATAAAACGTTGAAAAAATCAAATTGTACCAGTTTTGGATTAACAAAAGTTGGTTTTGATTCTTGTCTTCTAGATGGAGTCTTGATGCTGTTGGTTGGTAGATTTAAGTATGAAAAAACAAGTGGTGGACCTGTTGTAAAATCAACCTTGTGGACCTCACTTTGTACAGGCTTTTTGGTCTGATGGAGGAGAGAATGTGGAGTTGCAGAGAAGAAAGGGAAAAAAAGGTCAGTGGTTTTTCTTTTTTTTTTTTAATGGAAGAGGGATGTTTGAAAAAAGTGTTAAGTGCTGGCATATTTGGGTATGCAAGTAAACGTCATCTTTTGCATCCCCACTACCCTCACAAATCACAACTGATGAGAGAGACAGGAGAGTGCACCCAATAATATATATAATACAACTGTTGAACAGAATCAGATACGCAGAATTTTCACATATGATGCAGGTGAGTCCAAACAAGTCTCAACCTGTATCAAATCAATCAATGTGCAAAACAAAGGGTATTTTGGTAATTTTATCGTTCTTGTGTGATGACCAAAATATCCCCTTTTTGTGATGTGTCGGTTTTAGTTAAATTGGACGGAGGTTCTACGTAAGCATGACAAGGGTAAACTTGGGAGTTGGGAGATGGGAGGGGTCATTGTTTGGAGGTTGGAGCAATGCAATGGCAATAATAGGTAAAATCCCTCATGCAGGTTAGAGTCTGAAAGCGGCTACTTCGTACTAAAAATTGCCAACACTGACATTTGGTAATGATCTCGGCCTCAACGTAAGCATGACTGTGGCATATTTGAATAAAATCAAGTTTAAAATGAAGCTTTTTGGTCTATCCTTGCGATAAATCACCTTCAAATATATTTTTGAAAGCCGAGTAGATCAAGTTATTTATCAGAAAACAAGACCCCAAAAGCCCAGTACATTTTTTGATCATATGAGCTGTTGAAAGATCTTTTTGAAAAGTTTTGTCAAATGGCACCTTAATAAGTGTCATGATGATAATGGTTGAAGTGGCTAAAAGCCGAAATGAAGTGCCCCATTGTTTAATTAAGATTTTAGTAAATAAATTATTAAGCTCCAATATTCACTTTTATCCGGGTAAAGTGAATTTACCCATGTTCTTTTATTTCTTAGGTAAATAAACTAATGGTCATTTTGGTCATAAAAATTCATTATTAAAAGAGATAGTTTTGTCCCATTTAAGTATTGGCAACTTCCCCCTAGGTGAGAAAGTTATTTGTCCACCTAGGAGAGTGATACTCAAGAAAATTTTAATTTTCATGGTCCTTACATAAATCTGAAAAAAGAACATGGATTTTTTGGCATTTATTTGGCATTGTGCCATTGTTCCAGAAAATGGTGACACATCAACGCCACATCGAAAAAAATAGTGCTCTAGAAAACACCTATTTGTTTGGAACCATTTTTTCATAAAAAACGGTGCTCCAAACCACGTCTTAGAAATTGAGAAGGTGTAGTTTGGAGCAATGTCAAATTTGGTATTTTCTCAGATTGCAGTTCGTTGCTACCAACAAGGACGTGATGTGGTAGTGACGTGAACTTCCTATAATAGATATCAATACTGAAAACAGATATAAAGCACTGGTACCAACCAGAAAGTATTACTATTGCTCCAAAAAAGATCCTACCTGACAGTAAACGTTTCTAAACAGAAAAAAAAAGACAATTTTTTCTTTCCAATCCACACATCAGCACGGTGCTGTATCTGTATCATGGATGGCAAACATATACTTGGATTCACAACTTCCCCCCCTTTCAAAATCCTAAAAAACAAATGACCAATCAAAACTTAATTTGTGAAGATGATGAATACCGAACTGATTGATTGAACTGCTTGAGATGGGTCAAGCTTTTATTGAGTTGTTTTCATCCACCCGCTGAAGTTACTGAAACAAGTTTCACCGAAAAGCCGATTTTTTGGCCGAATGACAGCCTCTTTCCGCGTTTTTCATCAAACATGGCTTAGAGGCTGTATATGGGCCCAAGGAAATCTAACGTTCAGAAGTGGGCTTTATTGCCTTGGAAACATGCCCATTAATTGATACCAAGAGTCTTTTCTGTGTATAATGTATGTACGTATATGAACGTAAAGAAACTATGTGGTCCATCTAATAATGTGATAGTGGGTGGGTTTTGATCACTAGGTCGGTGTTTGGAACTATGGACGTTTATTAAATAAGGGATGTTATATAGGCGCCACTTCAATATTTCCTTGTTATGTGGATTAGTATACATAGAAAATTGCAAAAATAGGTTTTGATTTATGTGTGCGTCTATCATTGGGGAAAGTTTTATTTTGGTGTTTTCCTTTAACGGGTAGGTATTTATTTACTGCATTGCTGATGTGGTGCCTAATGGCGCCTAAATGTCAATAAACGGGTTCATTATAGTTTTTTTGGTTTTATAAATAAATCAAGTATAAACGTTTAGCCAATAAATGCCCACGGTTCCAAACACATACTAGATTGGCTGTCCTCTTTGAATTCATATTATTCTAAGCAATTTAAACCCATGCAATGGAGCATTAGGTTTATTCGGTTAAAATCCGAACTGAATAAACTGAAATTTTTAAAACAAAAAAAAGTAAAACCGAACCAAAACCAATTTCAATAAACCATAATAACCAAACCGAAATTTTCAGTTATTTCAGTTAAAAACCGAATTTAATTAATATATAATATTATATATTATAACCTTAATATATATATATATATATATATTATAATATATATTATGAAATTTAATTTGATTATAATACATTATATAATATATTAATATATAAATATATAGCATATTATATATTGTTTATTATATATTATATATTATATATTATATAATGAATTTTAGTTAATTCGATTTTTTTGGTTAACCAAATTTCTAAATTTGAAAACCGAAATTACTAATAACCAAATTACCCAAAATCTGAAAAAACTGAAATCAAAATTTTCGGTTCGATAATTTTGGTTTTAACCGAATAATGCTCACCTTTAGGCCAGGATTCATGTTTAGGGTTTATTTTTGGGTTGACCCTTAATCCCAATTCAATCCATCCAATTTATACCCCTGATTTATTAAAGAGGAGATTGGGTTAGCTGAACGCAATGGTTATATAAGGGGCTGTAGAAATAATGATTAGGCCCCGTGTTAAGAGTATACAACATAAGCATATCCCATGAATTGTATCGCATTGTATTGGCTGATATGCACTGATATAGGCCGATACGTATCGATACACTTGTTTCTCTATAAAAAGTTGCAGGCGTGGTGATTCAAAACTTGGATCATCAAAGTGCGCCTAAAGTCTGCACTTTAAATGCAATTCTAAGCCACAAATCCACGTTTGTCATTGTGATAATAAATAAAATAAAATAAACTTTATTAACTTCTATCTCTACATGCGATTTTTTCAATCTCTATTACTGATGTAGCGCAATCCGGTCACTCCTACCTGGCGCTCGCGTGGCTCCTAAGAGGTACCTGAGACGAGAGGAAAGAGGAAGAACTCCCGGGGGGTTTCCCGGCGGGAACGCTCCGATGCTTAAGTTAGTATTGTGTGCAA